CTCCTCTCTGCCTCCCTCCTCCAGCCGCTTCGCCGGCACGATCACCGCCCAGCTCTACGGGCACCACAGCAAGGAATACATTCGGTCCTTTTCACCGGAGGTGGGCGTGCTGGTCTCGGCGGGCGTGACGCCCTTGGGGGGAGGGTCTTTAACCTACCCGGGGGAGAAAGACGCGGCCAACCCCACCTTCCGCCATTTGATATTCACAAAATCGGGTAGGCCTTTGATTGCGTGCTTGCCATGTCGTGGTCCCCGGAGGGAAGACAGGGAGGAGATGAACCGTCCGCGCCGTGGGAGCTCAGCCCGTACCAGGACGTCGGGGATTCCCCCCCCCGGGGGCCATTGTCGCGGTCCCAGGGCTGAGAGATGAACCCAAGGCTTCCCTCCCTTCCTTCTTCCTGCCCTCTTTCCCTCCCTTGCCCCAGGATTTTACGACATGTGGAGTTTCTACCTCGATCTGTCCAGTGGGGAGCGCGAGCGATTCCTGGGCGAGAAGAGGCCAAGAACCAGCAAGACATCCCCGGCGACGCCCGGGGAGAAAGCACGGGAGGAAAGTGTTGGGGGTGGATTCCTCTTCCCCTCCTCCACGCGGAAAGAGAAGGACCGGGAAGCCTTCGTGTCCGCGCTGGAAAGCGCCGCTGCCGCTACCCCGGTGACGGCCATGGGAAGGGGGGACAAGCGTGGGGTCTCGGCCAAGTTCCTGGAGGCAGTGAAGGCAGCGAACAGTAAAGGATGGGTGAGTGGATAGGACGTGAGGGTCCGAAGGGACGGGAGAGAGGGCGACGGGTGGGAAGGATGGGGGTGGGGGTCGAAACGGAGGGAAGGCAGTGAGGACATAGGGAAGGAGGAGCCACTTCTTGAGAAGGAGGGAGGGAGGGACGGCGAGAAGGAGGGACGGGGAGCGAGAGAAGAATGGGAAAGGCTTGAATGCCGTATGTGTCCTGGCCGCTGCCCGTCTTACCCCCCGCATGCTTTCCTCCCTTTCCTTCAGGACCTTATGTACTCCTTCCGCCAGACCTACAAATGCCCCGATGTCTCCCCCGCCTCCATCCACCTGGCCGCGGACCGGATCCTGCGGGACTCGCATTATACGACTCGCTACGAAATGTACCTGGGAGGGTTACATTCCCCACATCGCCTCATCACTTGTGACGTCCATACCCGGACCTGGGACTCGGAGGAGGTGGAAACGTGTTTTGATCGGCTCTGTCTGTACGATGTCAGCCAAGAATGCGCCGCCTTAGAGCCGAAAAAGAAGAAGAAGCACCATCATCAGATGGTTTGATGTGCTTTTGGAGACAGGAGACGCAAAAAAAGTAGATCGCCGTGCGGGTTTCGTGAGGGAGAGCGTTGAAAATAATCCCCCGCGCTTTTTGCAGTGGGGAAAAAAGCTTTTACACCATGGATGCAAACGTCTTCTTCCGATGTTGCGTATGAGTGTCAAACGAAGACTATTGGATAGTATTTTGGCGGGAAAATTATCGGACAAAGCATTCTCCTTCGAGGGAGACCATTGAGACGTGTACATAAGACCTAAAATAATCGCGGTGAAGAGGCCGGATTTATGTATCTCTCAACGAGAAAAGACTGACGGGACATGAGCAGGATGAAGGTATCAAAGTTGAGCGTACACGGTAAAGAACGAACTGGATGCATTATTTTTAAGCACGCCATGTGCCTCTGTGTTCAGTTGACTTCCCATTCAACCTCCCGCCTGAGAGATCAAGACATTTCGTTTTCATCGTAGCACAGCCCCTCATCTATAAGTTGTTGGTGTGTGTCTCAATGATATAACCCTGTTCATTCATATTGATGTCCCGCAGGATTTACATGATATCGTTTTGTTCGGATAGTTGTGTAAAACTAGCTACAAAGAACGTCAAGTCAGACCCGTCGGCGTCGGCGAGCGTCGGAACATCACATGGCAATGCTCACTTCTTTTCATTTCGATATCGATTCGTCGCATCATTCTCTTTCTAAGGTGCTCAGTCAATTGGGTGAATGGGCAGCAATGTATCTCGCAGCACAAGTACGACAGACTCCACCACTGCTTCCACCGGTTTCACGTCGTCTTCTTCGCCATCAAACAACGTGGTAGACCTGTATGGTGGAACAAAGGAGCTGAAAGACGACCTTTCTACAATTATTGTGCGCCTGAGAGGGGTATCGGATGAGGAAGACAGGGCCATACCGACTAGAAATGGAGGCGATCGTCGAACCGTACGTGAGGAAGTCCACAGCACTGCCAATGCGAGGGTTGGGCATATTGAAAGAGGAGGAACCCACCTTTGCCTCCAACACATTCCCCAACAAGCAACCTGGGACTGTGGCATCGCTTGTTTGCAGATGATATTGACCCATGTCGCGGCCTCTGCCCCTTTCTCCTCCCTCTCGATCCCTCCTTCCCGGGATGCCCTGCTCGCCCGCGTTGGGACCCGGTCGATCTGGACCATCGACTTGCTCTACCTGCTCAAGCCGTACCTGACAGGGAGTCAGCGCGCAGTCTTCCTTGTCACCGCGTCCCCCGGCGTCTGCGTCCGGCATGCGACGCTGTCTTACTACACCAAGTCGGGGCAATTCGGGGTGGACAGGCAGCGAGTCCTCCGCCTTTTTCGAGCCGCCCCTGGGAATGGACTCAGGGTCTACGAAGGGAGCCTATCCTGGGAAGACTTGAGGGATCTGGTGTGCACAGGACGGGTTTTGCTCGTCCTGCTCGTCGACCAACGGCTGCTCCCTTCCTCCTCCTCCCTACCCTCTGCCCCTCCCTCCCTCCCTTCCTCTCCTCCTCCCGGCGCCTCCTCCGTGACGCCCAAACCACTGACAACGGAAGCGTCCTCCTCCTCCTCGATTCCCATCTTTTCTTCCGACGAGCGACAGCCTCAGCATGAGCAGGGGCCGCACTCAGAGACAGGCGCCTCGTCCTCCTCAATGGGCTCTCCATCCTGCCACGCCCTGAATGCCGACCCTCCTTCCTCCTCCCTTCCTTCCCTGCCCCTGGCATTGCCCCCTCCCTCTTCCTCCTCCACAGCCTACTGCGGCCACTACATCCTTATCACCGGCTACCGCCCAGCATCCCCCCCTCCCTGCCTCCCTTCCTCCCCCCCTTCCTCCCCATCCACCACCTCCGGCGCTGGCTTTTTCCTCTACAAGGACCCGGCCAAGGCCCCCCTATCACCAGGGGAGCAGGAAGGGAAACGGGGAACGAGGGAGCAAGAGTGGTGCAAGGATCGTCTGATTGAGGTATCGGTACTGGAGAGAGCGAGGCGGGCTGAGGGCACGGACGAAGACATTCTAGTGGTGGAAGTGTAGATACAAGCTCAAGATAAGGCCTTTCGTAGCTGTACATGGGGGAATACTTTCGACAGAGGGGAAGGGATAGGAAGGGGATTGCACACAGCCGGCATGTACAGCGCAAGGCAGGCACAGTAAGGAATCGACAGAGAAAAAATTGGTATCGCCCTTCGCAAGCAGGGCGTTAAGCCTCTTTTTTTTTCTTTCCATTTCCTTCACGGATCCATCTCCGCCATCCCATGCATTAGCTCCCCTCTGTCGGCCAGCCACCTGCAGCTCTCGAAGGCTGGGGACACGCTTCGGAGGGACAGGAGGGAGGGCGAGAAGGAGGGCAGGGAGGGACCCAAGGAGCAGAGAAGAAGCTAGCAAGGGTCTCGCCCAGACTTCCACAGTATCTGGGAATTCGCTAGCTTCTCTTCGCGCCGTTCGTGTATCGCCCACAGCCCTTTCTTCTGGGCGGGAATACAAACCCTCCCCGCTCATCCATCGACACCTTCACATCCTTCCTCCATCCTCCCCCCCTCCGCCGTGACATCCCGGATCAACCCTCAGATTTGGCCTCCCCTCCCTCTCCCACCATGACCCAATCCCCGTCCTCCCCGTCTCCTTCTTCCCCGCCTTCTCCCTTCCTCCCTTTTAAAGCCGGCTCGGACACTTCTGGAACTTTCTCCGGGGTGTGGCCCGAGGAGGGGACGGAGGGCGGGCGGGAGGTCGGGCTAGGCACCGGCTCGTTCAACTTCTTCATTTCGTGCGCAGTCGTGGAGACTTTCATCAGTTCCCTCAGGAGCATGGTCGCATATGTTGAAGGTGGCAGGGTGAACGACAGTATAAGCGCCCTCGAACCCACCTTCTCCTTCTCTGTTTCTCCCTCCCTCCCTTCTTCCTTCCCTCCTTCCTCCCCTCCCCTGGTCTCCTCCTCTTCTCCTCCCTCTCCTTCTGGCC